AGGAGGAAACTGTAGGACTACTTAGGAGCTACCACACAGAGAGAAAACTTGTGGAGGAGAGACCTGAACTCATGCACCTGGACACAAAAGGTCTTTTGCAGTTACTCCGTAACCTTGCCCTGCTCAGAGTGGCCAAGAGAATCAAACGTTTAAGAAAAAATAAACAAAATCCCCAAAGCTCTTCTCAAATACCCAGGGGCAAGTTCCAATGATCCCAAAACTCCATTTTCTGAAAGCTTATGAGCTGTGCTTCCCTATGGGCACAGACAGTACTCTGTCTGTGTGTTTCTGAAAGCGAAGCCAAACCGGAGCAAGGCACTAGCAGAGCCCTCCCCGTCGCATGTTAGTTCTTACCTCACACACCGCCCATGGTATTCCTAGTACACAAACAAACAAATTCCCTCTCTAAACACTGTAACAAATACTTGAGCACATGCTATTAAAAAAAACCAAATCAAAACAAGGCCATCCACGCACCCCCTTGCAAACAAGGCCAGATGGGTTTTAAGTCTGCGCTCTTACCCATGAAGTCTGCCCAATAAAGCCATCAACTTGTTGAAATCTCAGCCTTCACTTGCATTTTAATGATGGTGTCAGTGAAGCTGACTAGAGCCAGACATGTGTTTTCCTTCAGAAATCGTACACGAAGGACTACAGTATGACCTCAGCTGTATCAGCGCTTAATGAAAAAGTATTCCTAAGTCACCAGATCATAACCGCAAGCACTTAATCATGCATCTGGAAGACAAGTTACTTATGTATAGAGCCAGCTCCATGCAATGCCCCTGCCCTTCCTCGTCCAAGTGGGATTTATCTTAAATCCCCTAGTTCAGGAAGGGCTACTGGTTTATCCTTCAGAGCTGCTTACTCAAGCGATAGCAGTGGCACAGCACCCTGTTAGACAGCGTTACAGTACTGCTGAATGTGAACAGAGAAAGGGCACAGGCCTACAGTTGGGGGGGGGGGGGCAGTATTTATGTTCATTTGGAAGGGGTTTTTGGTAGTCATGGTCAATCTACGTAATTTGCTGAAGTTTTCTACTTACATTAGCTCCCCTACCTCAGCTGCCAGTTCCTGGGTGCGTTGGTTCTAGTGTCCGAAATTACACCCCAACTGCAGAGCTGTCACAGGGGAAGCACTTACGGGCACCAGACACTGTCTGTGCTCACATTGCAGGACCAGACGGACTAACTAGACTGGATGCTGGCTTTAGCAAGATATGTAGTTTTTTCTAGCTAGCCCAACTAAGCCTGGAGTTTACAAAAAAGCAACCAAGATGATACTGGCTGGAGACAGGGAGACCAGTTCTTGCTTCCCTATTAGGCTTCAGAGCAGCCCTCAGCAGTGCCCTGGCCGTACTCCATCATGTTTCACTAGCAGAAAAACCAAGTCACTAAACCTCCCATTACCTTCACTTCTGACATACCTTAGGGTGAAGCACACCTCGGTAATCCAGCCTATCACTTTTCCAATGCAGTAGCGTCACAGCCACTTCCCACCACAAAGACGTGGGAATATTATCCATAGTCCGTCACGCTGCAATTTTACTACTTTGCTACTAACATTGAAACTGAGCCAATTAAGCAATTTTAAAACCCATTGCAGCTTTCACTTGCAAGACAGAAAGGAATAAGAGCACAGATCCCACTGTGGCAGAGGCATCCAGTCCTGTAGTCCTCACTAGCAAAACATCTGGTGAAGCTGAGGGATGGTACCTCCCTTAGCACCTCTGCTCTTGCCCTGCCACCTCCTCACTGCTGCTGAAACTCGCTTGGGTCAAGAGCCTCACGGTTTGGTCTCTCCCCATTCATGCTCATGCCAACAGGAGAGGATTATTTTTGTACTTGGTCAACTTACACGGACTTTTAAATCATCACTGTACAGAGGCTGCTCTATTTTCTAATGAAGTCTTTAAATTATATTTTTAATAAAGTGTTTTTAAACCTGTCTGGGAATTTCTTCTCTGAAATTGTTGCCTAGCCTAACACACCAGCAGTTGTTTGAGAAAGCACTTTCACGCAGGTGTTTCCAGCAGTAACGGTTTTCGTGCCAGAGACTCAACGCACCACTGGAGAAACTGAACTGGGCAGAAGACTGCGTGTGTCCCTTGTCTCTCACAGCTTGGTTTTGGAACTTCCCTGTAGCCCCTCCAGAAGCTGAACGGCTGCCAAAAGAAAATTGTGGTAACATTAGCCTGAAGAACAGGGGAAAGAGGTGAACTGATCTGAATGGCCTTTTAACAGTACAGCTTCCAAATCGGCTGGAGTCAGTCACGGCAACATGTCCTGTCCCCCACACCCCGCGCTGTGTCAGGCAGCTGACACGAAGACACGATGCCTCTGCTCAGAAGCAGAGGGGGGAGGTGGCTGCGTTCAGAGGGGTGGGACACGAGCAGGAACAAGTGTTTTCTTGTAGCTGAGACCTTCAGACCAGCCGGACGGCCTGCAGAGTGCATCAGGAGGTTTTACGGTACGAACCAGTGACTGACACTTGCCTGTTGGTACAGACAGCCCCAGTGTGGCGTGAGTAGTGGGATGCGGTATCAAAGCAGGTGGCAGACGTGCACACCCTGTGGACAGGTATGTCCAAATGAGATGTAGATAATTACGGTGTGCAGAAGCATCCATAGTTTGGTTTTTTTTTTAAAAAAAAATGTAGGATGTAAGTGCGAGCCTTAGCCCAGTTTAGTTTTAACAAGTCAGTCCTCTGTAGCGATACTGATAAAACAAACAAACAAACAAATCCATTTCTGCAGAAAGTCAAGAATTCAACTGCATTTCTAAGAATAGTTTCCAACAGAAGTGTTAGCCATGTCAAAATCTGAGGTTTCCATAAGGGAGTTTTGAAACATAGGTTATAAATAATAGGGGATTTTTTGCTGACTAGCTAGAAGAAATTCAGGAACATAAGTAAGACTGCTGTACCACCGATTGTTAGATGCAGCCCAGCAGCAGTTGCTCAAACTTGTTTCGGAAGCGTGTTTGTCAAACAGTCATTTCCCAGAAAACGGTTGGCTTCCAGTTTCAGAACACAAGCTGCTTCTGTTGTAGCCCAGACTAACTAGAGTGACTGTAAGGTTTCAATAAGCTTATTTTACTGTGCAATAATTTTGTTTATTTCTCAGATCACACTTGGTCAAGAAAGAGTCCTAAGTCCAAAGGGGCAAGTATTTCCAGCAAATAGAGCTGATGTGTTCCATAGACAAACTTGTATCAAAGCTTCCTAAAATGTCCTGCAAAATGGATTTCATAGACTCAGAATGGTTTGGGTTGGAAGGGACCTTGAAGACCATCTGGATCCATCCCCCCCCCTGCCATGGGCAGGGACACCTTCTACCAGGCCAGGTTGCTCCCAGCCCCATCCAACCTGGCCTTGAACACTGCCAGGGAGGGGGCAGCCACAGCTTCTCTGGGCAGCCTGTGCCAGTGTCTCACCACCCTCACAGTGAAGAACTTCTTCCTAATATCTAATCTAAATCTCCCCTCTTTCAGTTTGAAAACTCTACCTGTCATCCTATCCCTACAGTCCCTGGTGAAGAGTCCCTCCCCACCTTTCCCACAGGCCCCCTTTAAGTACTGGATTTGAACGGCAACCTGCCACTGAGTGGCATCTGTTGTGGAATTACAAGAAGCAGAAAAGTCAGTCTCAGTTCAGCAATAAACACATACAGGTTTGGCCTCAAACCAATCTCATGCTTAAAGGAACACAGTGACTCTAGGTTATTTACAACCACTGCCTTAGCTGCACCTGACACATCATCATCAGTAACAGTTCCAGAAAAAGGAGCACAGAGCACATCCCAGGCAACTTTTGGTAAAAGCCACTCATTTAGTGGAAGTGATATAAGTAAATACATAGCCAAAGCTGTGACTCCGAGTTAAGCATGATCTGGCTATCACTTTATTCCTTGAAACTAGACTCTTCTCAGTTCCAGAAACTACTGGGAAAGAGAGGGCACCTGATGCCTGAAATTTCACCCTTTTATTTTCTCTTCAATGCATTCCGTGTTTTAAGGTTCTTACGAACTGTCAGGAAGTTTCAACGAACCAAACAGATGAGTTCAGTTACTGTTACTTCTGTTTCAAGGATTTCATAAACATCCCTAGAGCTTGACAACATCCTTGAACATTCAGTTTTGATCTTAGGCTAAGTTTATCTGATGTGATATATTAGTCCATGCTGAACACCAAAACCCCCTCATGCATAGGTTCAGACACTCTTAGGTGTTGCACATCAGATACGGATCTCTGAGAGGTCATTAATTTTTTGATTAATGGTAACTTACCTTCTAACAAGAGTAGCTGCAGCGTGCCCTTTTTCAGAGGTTTCATTTCCTCAAACCTTTTTCAGAGGTTTCATTTCAGGCCTGCAGTATGATGTGGTAAAAAGCAAACTGGGGAAAAAAGCTTGTTTTGGATATTTAACTATTTTTTTTATGCATAGCTTCATCAAAGGAGTGAAGAAAAGAGAAAAATCTCAAGAAAGCTTCTTTCACGCAGACTCTCACCATCCCTTTTTGCAGGAGCAACTTGCAGGCAAGGAAAATGTGTGACTTCATATTTATTTATTTTAGTTGTGCTCAGAGTTTTACAGGTAGCATCTTCCCTTTAGACCTTCTCAACAGAAATATAAAAAAGTTTGAAGCCATTTCCCCATTTACCCTCATCTCCAACAATCAACTGAAGTGAAAAGCAGAAACATCTTTTGTTAAAAGAACGAGTGATGAGTTTGTGAAGGCTTATCCCAGTCTGGAGCTGGGCTTCCTGCTATGGCACAGATCTATTAGTTTGTAACTTAGAAAACCCAGTCCCCAGAGTCCTGTAACTCCCACCTACTCAACAGGAAACAAATCTCTTCTCTAGCAGTGACAGGGACATTCGTGGTAGCTGACGCTGTGCAGGGGAAACACTTCTTGCAGCTTGAGTGAGCTGGACCTTCTTCAGAAACTCTGGGTACCCAATCCGTCTTCATGGGATGGAGAGGAGGCAGGGAACAAACTCTTCAAGGCAGAACAGACTCTTCAAGTAAGTACTGCACGTCCTGGTAGACATGCGTGTTTTAGCGGACTGCTGTGGCATGAGGCACTGCGGTCATGGCTGTAGAGAACTGTCCCAGCTCTGTCAACAGAACCACAGGTAAATTTGTTCTCTTTCCTGTGAGAAGTCCCTGAGTTGCAGACCTAATGGATCTTCCCCCCAAACACACCTCAGTGTCACTAGACCACTGAAAAAAGGAGCTGAGCCACATCAGTAGCCTGCAGGGAAGCCACCTTTCCGGGAGTCGGAGGCTGCAGCCCATCCTTCATCTGTTCTGAGAATGGCCTGCACCACAGCACCGCCGCTCACCCGTGCGGTATCGTGTTTTCTCTTCTTTAGTTGTTCTTCTATACCCTGGAATGCAGAGGTGAATGAGGACAACAGGAGAGAGAAACTGCACACGTGCTGTAGTCTGCAACCTGCGTCCTCCATGACTACCCAAGCATTCGGTGCCTGTATTAGGCAGGTCTAAAACTACGTCCTGTTCTTCCTCTGCCCTTTGCTTTCTGGGATGCCCTGCTTCTGAAGAGGTGGGATTGAGAAGATGTGGCATTTGTGGCACTCAGTGTGGGCCTACCAATATTATCCCTGCTTACAGAGCATTCTGCCTCAGATATCCATATACCAACAGCCAGAACTGACAGATCCTGTTGGGAATGGGGGGAACACAGGACTTGCAGAGAGCAGGGCACCCTTCCCAGTGCAGGCAGGTATCTCAGCTGTTACCTTAATAAGAAGCTTATTAAAGGAGGATCTTCTGCATAGTTTGATGAAGAAAACTGCCTTATGTACGAGTGTTTTCCCTTATACAAAGACATGGGATGAGATATGTACAAAGGCTGCATCTGTCTTGGGCCTCTGGGATGTGTACTTCCTCAGGGCGAATGAAGCTGCCAGCTCAGACGAGTGGTATGCAGAGCGAGACAGATCTTGCCATCAGCTCCCGGACTGACAGTGTTGCCCAGGGACCCTGACTGTGAAAATATTTTCAAGTTTGTTCTTGGGTCCCTCTGTGCACTCTCCCCTCACTAGCTCTGTGCCAGCGCTTCACGATTCATCAGGAGGTTGCACAATAGGTCAAAAGTTCCTGAGGGTCACTGGATTTAGACTGCTGGATGGTTTGGGCCCTGATGTGCTTTGCTATTTCGCAAGTCCTTTGAGCCAAACAACATTGCAAGAAGATACACACCCTCAGTTTCAGATGTAGGTCATGCTTGAATGTGCTAGGCCTTAAACCTACGTGACTGAGACTAAAGGTACGCTTTGAACCTCTCATTGTGACCCAGTGCTTGACCTGTGCCAGCTTTAATACTGCTCACTTAGGAACATTTGGCAAAGTTCATGATTTTCTAGCAAGTACATGCCTTCCCAACACTAGGAACACAGCCCATACAAGGAGTTCACGCCACCCCAGACTCTAGGTAGACAAACCTCCTCAATTTGCTGCTCAAGCTCCGTGATATTGGGAAACAGCTGATCGTGAACTCTGGGCTCTTCCACTGCTTTCTTCACGTCATAACCAAACCAGATGGAATTGATGATCGTCTATGAAAAGCAAAAAGCCTTAACATTAGTTACTTGTCTTCAAAGAGGCCTGACTCTTGTAGCAACATAGGCAGAGATGTCTGAAGGATGTTCACCAGAGCACATAAAAGGTGTAATTTCTGGTTCCTGCTGCTTTCAGCAGTCCCTCTCTTGGCTAAGCGAAACACAGGTACATTGCAGCAAGTCAGCTTGTACGTGTTCAGGAGGTTTCCCACAAGAAGAGACCAGAACTCACTAAGATTAACATAGTAGAAGGATCAGATCCTCAAGTTACTGTAGTTGGGTTTATGCTGCTGTGATTGAGCTAGTGCTAGCTTAGACACACAGCAGTCACCTCAGCAAACATACAGGTACCTTCCCGCTGCTGTGCAACCAGTTTCCTTAAACCTGGCTCATCTCTACGCGCTTAAATTGCAGGTTGGAGCTGCTGGCCAGTGAAAATAGCCTCAGGATCAAAGGCCTAGAAAGCTGCTTGTAGAGGTTTTTATGGAGATTTCTGCTCTACCTCAGCACAATCCAGCCCGGTGCTCTGAACTGCTGTGTGTGCTGGCACGGTAGACTGCTTCTCCTGCAGTCAGATGGCCTGACACCATGCCTGGCCCAAGTTCTTATTTAGCTTCTCTGTGTGACTTTCATCAGAAGTTTAGGATGTTGAATGAGAGTGACTCTAAACTATATAAAGAGACTAGTTCATGGAGATCCAGAGAAATGGAGTTAAAGCTAAACTGAAGTCACAAATCTTCCACGAGTGGTAAGAACAACTTGCCAAAGGAAAAGACCTGGAGTCAGTGAAGGAAGTAATTTAATACTGGCAGCAGTTGGCGTTGGAGGTCTGGCCCTCAGGTGGCCAGGCAGGAACCTCCCTTTCAGGCCCCTGGCCCGCAGCAGGGAGCCACAGCCATGGTCACATCACAGGTGGAGACTTGAGCCCCCTACCCCAACCACTCCCTCTCCCCCACCTTGTTTTGCCTCAGCCTTCTCCCCAGCTTGTCCATATCGTCACATACCAGTGCTGTTGCTGTGGTTATTTTTGTTCCTCCAGAAGCACCAACCACCATCCTGACCTTTTTTGTTTTATCCACCAAGATGGAGGGGCACATAGAGGACATCGGCTGTTTACCTGTTGGGGGGACAGATGCAACAGAGGCTCAACTTTTCACCTGCAGCTCGCAAACTGACAGCTCCAGCTCCGTGTCTCAATCCAGAGCCTCAATATCCACCTTCCTGACTCAGCTCATGTGTCTTGTTCATCCCACTGTCCCCTGTACCCACCTCCTCCTTGCTTCTGCAATGCAAAGCTTAACCCTGGTCCTTCATGCAGAGGCTGAAGGTGCCTTCCTCCACAGTCCAGTCCCAGCTGGGGCTGCCTGTGATGCAGCTGCCTCGAACACACCATGGGACTTCCCTTCCTGTCCTTTCACTTCCCTATCCCTCTCCAAAGCATGGGTACAGGAGGATATAAGAATCCCAGCCGGCTTTAGCAGCAGTGAGATGGGTCTGCAGGAAGCAGTGGTGGAGCAGGCAGGGTACTTGGGTTAGGTACATGAACTGGGTCTATCCAGAGCTGCCCTGCAGCCCCCAAGGCAGCACAGGGAGAAGGGCGGACAGTGTCATCTAACACTTTGCAGTCAGCTGCTGCTGCTGCCTCTCTCCCTCCCTCCCTCTTAAATCAGTTCAAAGAAATCTTTTGCAGCCCCAAGTAATTTCATTTGACACGTACTGAACTCCCTGGGAAAGGATTTCTGGTTGTCGGAAGGAGGCATGCATACACAAGAGTTTTTCTTTAGACAGCCTCTCCTCCTTCAGGGCGCACAAGGGGCAGCGGGATGTATGTTTTTGGCAGGGATGCCAGGTGACTTGCTTTCATCCCTGTCCTCTGCAGAAAGCCCCAGATCTGTGCTTGGTTGCAGACATGCTGCAGCCTGCCTTGCAGACACCACAGCGTTCGTGCAAGATATCGCCAAAAGACTGAGTCAGAAAGGTGGTTTACAGCTACCTGGTGCTATGAAATTTGCTGGAGAAGGAGGGATCCCAAATCCATTGATTATGTAAGGTGAGCTGAAGTCATCCATCTCATCATTAAATATGATTCCACTCACGTTGGATCGTACATCAGAGCCAAAGCTAGACAAAACAAGTTGGCGCAGACATGTCAAAACCAGAGCAAATCCAGGAAGAGCTTCAGGTGAATTACTGCAATGTGAAACCTGGGATTTGATTGGAGTAACTCTCCACTCCCTCCTGATGTAAAGGACATTCTGTCACCCCTTGGGGGAAGGAGGCAGTTTATACCATGAGTACACAGAGAAAGGCAGCCCAGAACCCTGCTGTACAGCTCCCTTGCAAGGATCCCAAGGGGAAAAACAGCACAGCAGCTAAGTACAACTAACTCCCCTTCCAGCTGGGCAGTGCTGCACTCCATGACTGGGGTTTTGCCTAAATGTGCCGAGCTGGAGACATTTTCTATGGACAAAAAGGACCTTCACCCCCCTGCTTCAGTCTGTACATTTGGAACACAGCTCCTCCTGGCAGCACTCGAAGCCAAACACTGCACTTCCAGGCCAGCTGTATTAGCTCAAATTCCTTCCAGAAGCCTGGGAAATCAGAGCCAGCAGCAATATCACTGATTATGAGGAGATCCAGATGCAGTGAATGTTTTCTTGGTGGGTGAACCCAATAGAGTCCTCTGACCCAACCACACAGGCCTCAGAGTTAAGAACTGACCTGCAAGCTCAGCAGGAGAAGTGCCCATCAACAGTGCCACCCATCACTACCCCACTAGAGAGACAACAGTTCAGTGATGCTTTATACCAACCACAGAACCACCACTAGGAAGATGGCAAAGGCCTACACAGAAGTAATGTCTGAGCTCATACTATTGGTTGATGGTGCTGGTGGCGGACACAGCACTGCCATCATCAGCCACAATGGAGAGGTGGGATGTACCGGCATTATCTCCAGTGTAATATACTGGCTCATAGTAGTCAACTGGATGGGAGGTGTTGTCTGTGATTTTCCTCCGCAGGCTATCCGCAAAGAATTCGGACGTCATGTTTCTGATGGCCTGTCAGAGAAATCCAATGCAGTTACTCAGCAGATTAAGAGACATGTAGTTATGAGGCTGATATCCAACACTTCAGACCACAGAAGAGTGGCAAATCCCAGCAGTGAGGCTATAGTTTTCCAGCAGGGGCTTTCCTCCTTCTTGAAAGACGGACATTGTACCAAAGAGCATTTTAAGCAGTCACAGATGCAGCTGTTACAATGCACCCCGCTGTGTAGGAAGTTAATCAGCATCCATTATTGCAGGTCTATGGAAAGCTGTCCTCAACACTGCTATAAGGTGTAGGCAAGCAGTGTTACACTTGCTTCAGAGATGAGAGGAGAGGGATCGGGTTGAGAGGACTAGGCCAAGGCAAGCTCTGATCATTGCTCTGTAAGTTGCAAATTTGTGTCCATCAAGCTGGTTGGGCTCAGATCCTGCCGCTTTTGGAGATTCACAGAAGTAATAGCACAAAGTGTGAAGCTGGGAAAAGCAGGGTTCCTGCCTCACCCCTTCCCATCTGTTGGTCCATTTACTATAGGCAGGACTGTGGATAGAGAGCCACAAGGATGCTGGGAATGTCATCTAGTGAATAAGGCTTCAAACACTATGAAAACAGGGAGGGTTAGCCCTAAGTATACTCAAACGCTCCTGGTGAATTGAGGATTTTGCTTTTTCTTACAGCAGGAAGGTTTCCTCCATTTATATCCCTCACAGCTTAGCCACGAGTCACATAGGACTTCACGTTTTGATTCAGAGATGTTTCAGTGCCTGTCAATAGCAGGTGGCACAGAGCATCCCTGACAAAGTTTAGTCACCCAAAAACTTTAAGTCATGCTCCAGTCAACCTTCATGTTGCAGAAAGAAAAGGCTTTTGCCAGGTACCTCTGTAATGTTGACAAATTTTGGATCTCCCAGTAAAGTCCTCTTGGCGTAGGCAAAGCGAAAGGCCTCCACAATACGGTGGTAAGTCAGACCTTTCTCCTCCACGGTTTTGATGCTGTCAGCAGAGAAATTATATCCTGGCAACAGAAGACAAATGATTGTGAACACAAAGGAAAGTACACGGCCAATGGGCTGCTAGTAAACCTGTGTCAAATGGTATAATCTTGAAGCTCAGTCTCTACAGAGATGCAGTCACTGGACTGTCCTAATCTCCTCATGGAGAACACAGGAGCTCTGGTAGTTTTGAGCACTGTGGGAGTCATCAGCAGGATTTGTACTTGCAGAGACATTTTGCAAAGAAGCTTCAAGTACGACTTTTTTTCCACCCCAGGGAAGTGTCCCATCAGGAGCATAATTTTCCTCTCACACCTGTATTTCAAGCAGGAAGGCAACATCCCTGAGTTTACAGCAGAAGAGCAATGTTTCAGCTTCTCTGATCCCTCTGGGGGTCTCAGAATTCTCACCTGCTAGAGGGCTGCCGAGGGAGGCCCAGCTCCCAAAACAAAAATGGTGTTGTCTTTGGAGCTCTCCCAGCCCCTGCTGCCTGTAAGACACTGCTCAGTGGCACTCTCACCTTTCAGAATGTTGAAAATGAGGGCTAGCACTGGGCCGCTTAGGGGAGCACTAGGCGTGTAGAGGGTAAACTCCCCAAGTGTGATCTGTATGGGGTCTTCGATCACTGTTGCGTTGTAGTCCCGCAGGTCATCCAGTGTGACAATGCCCCCTGGAAAAGAGAAGGAAACGATAGATGTGGGTTTATGTGATCTCTGGCAGGAAGAGGAGGTAATACTCCATCACCATCACAGCACCGCAGGCATCACAGCAAGGACAGGAGAGAACACAGACAAATCAAAAAAGTTGCAAGGTTAAGAGAGCAAAGATGGGTGCACAGGAGATGAATTTATTCCTCGATAGATCCAGCTGAGGCTCAGATAGCCTAAGCTTGAAGTTGGGCTGATTTACAACAGCCAAAAATCTGGTGATCCATCTTTTTTTCTTTACAAAGGACACCAGCAATGTCAGGTAAGAGTCCTGTTTACAGGAGGAGGATGCAGCTTTTGGGTGCAGATGTTTTGAGCTATACCACAAGCAGAATAATTTGTATGTTCCATTGCCTTTCTTATGAGAAGGGGGAAGACAGTAATTAACCACCACAAATAAAGCCAGTAAATGACTATGTCATATGAGGTTGAGTGAAGAGAGCCAATGCTAACTAGCAAGGATAGGATAGTACCACCATCTAGTGGTGTAGAGAGATTAAACAAGCTCAGAGTTTACAGGACACCTGTGTAATGCTTTAGATAGGAACTTGTTGGATTCAGGCTCTGTAAACAGCGTGTATCTACTAAGCTATACCCAGAAACGCATAGGCTTGCTAGACTATATGGTACAGAAATGCACAATATACACTATCCATTTCTGACTGGGTTTCAAATGCATCCATTAAAGCTCTAATGGCTTCTCCTGGGTGTCCTGTTGCCACAGATCTCAGAGGCAGCATCTCAGGCAGCAGGCTTGACCCGCTTCCAAGGCTTCTGCAGGTCACCAGCTCCTCCCTGGATGCTGAGCCGCAGCAGTCAGGTCACTCATGCTGTTTTGGACAGAGGTCCTGTTTCTCACCTACACTGCGGATGTCATCGATGATCTGTTTTGCCAGGCTTCCTGTGTAAAAGGCATCTGCTCCTTCACTGGCTATAGTCTCGTATGTGTTGGCTAGTTTAGGCATCTTGATGATATCGCCCTCATGCAGAATTTTCCCTCCTCTGCAGAACACTTCGCTAACAGAGAAAGGAGATTGAGATCAGATCTGAGAGACAAGTTCAAAACTACGTGTACGTGTACCTGTACCAGCTGACACAGTATTTGAGTGTTCATGCTAGAGGCTTCTTGGAGAGAACAGAAACTGCCTGAGCCATGCCCCGGGGTCCTGATATCTTGCACTGGGACGTAAAAGTGAACAGTGGTTTCTGACCTGGGATTCCACATTGCTCAGATTTTGCTCAGTGAAGTCTGCATGAGGGAATACTGATTTTTTTCACCAAGGCAGGCCACCCTCCCTACCTGCCCAGGGGGCCAACAACTGCCTCAAGATGCCCAGGAGGGGTCATAGTCCTTGAACTCGAGCAGCTCAGTTCAGAGCACGGACCACGAAGCTATGAGGCTCAAAGCTTCCAGTGAGTCCAGCAGAATTCATTTCGATCCCTGTTTGTCAGAGCACTTTGAGGTAGACAGTTTCCTCTCTAGCTCCCTTATCATGGCTCATGAATGTACTGCTGTGGAACTGCCAAACGGAAGTACAGGAGATAGGCCCAGGCTGTACATCCCAATTGGATTGGAAACCAACCTGCAGCTGGCAGAGATTTTAAGGAAAAGAGAGGATTAAGCATGATCTCCAGTAGGGCTGGACATAGACACTAAGGGTTTGACTGTAAGAAGAAGTGGAGGAGCATTTAAAACATTTCATGTTCATAGTCATTGCCAAAAGTGGATGGTCAGAGTCATTGCTTGAGGAAGGCTGACCGCAGAGTCAGAGATGACCCAAATTCCCACTGCCTGACAGCAGTTGAGATGTTCAAGGAGACACTGCAATTGCCCCAAATGCAGGTGAGATTAGCTCGGTGCACTTACAGCATGAGGAAAAGCTGGGGATTCAGAAAATACATTGCCATCTGACAGATTTATTCCAGCATGTACTCTAATTCCACCTTTGCTCAGACAAATGGACTTTAAGAGCAGAGTTTATCTGCCTTTAAAGGTCAGGACTGAACATTCCTAAAATGGCCACATGATTTAGCACCTTCAGGTAGCTGGAATAACATCAGCAGGTACAGTGAGTACAGTCGCCGGAGGGGAGGCACACTCCTTGCAGACACTACATTACACAAACACAGAGACTTTTCAGCTAGGATGCAGTTACCCCAAATTTCTCTGCACAGAACAGCAACTGCTCTACCTACATCACTGCGACTGCTCTACCTACCACAGCGAGGGATTGCTTTCAATTGACTCCTCTTTTGATTTGATGGCTGCTGCAAGGCCTTTCCCAATAGGGAATCCTTCTCTTGCCAACTTGATGCTGGGCAGAAACAGGTCTTTCCATGCCAGTTTGCCATGACGTTTGTGAGCCAGTTCATACCCACGGATTTCTCCTGGAACAGCAATGGACAGTCCTCCTGGAGCAGATAAGGAATGTATTAGTCTTCTATAGCAAGAAAAGAATGCAATTAATGGAGTAGGAGGTAGAACAGGCTTCTCTGTCAGCCCTGTTTTTAGGCAGGGATTACTTACACCATGACCAGCTCAGCCTATGCATACGATGCTAAGAGAATTATTCTGCCTGACATTCATGCCTACATATTCTGGACTGTTGAAACGCTTTTATCCTCTTGCTGGTAACTCAAGGCTTTGGGTCGTTTCCCCTCAGTAGGCTCCGTACCAAAGAAAAGCTGCTCAGAACACAGAAGCTATCATAGCTGCCTGCAGTTCCAGTCCTTCAGAGGAGAACACACTACAGTAAGACGACACAGACTGTGTACGTACTTAAGCCAGACACTTTGCTACTGCATTGTAACTACAATTGCGAAAGATTGATTACTACACTGCACAGTGATCCAGCAGTTTGCTTCAATCCTGGTTTTATTGGCATCTCCAAGAAGTCCAACATACTTCTCAAACCCCTTCAAGGTGCTGTTCCTCCTTGGTTATAGGAGTGACCACGAAGAGGACTAGTTAGTATTTCTTTCTATTTTTAATTAGAAATGACTTCCCTGAAAGGAAATTACTTCTTCTTCTCTGGAGCCCCTGAACCATTAGTTGGAGCCACCACAGGTATTTAGGAAGGACACTTGAATTGACAAGAACTAAGCTGGTCCACAAAGATTCGTGCAAAGAGGTGGAAAGGAAAGATGGCAGATATGGAACAGGTCATACTCAGTGCTTTGGGTTTACCTGCGTTTTCATGAAATGAAAAGCAGAAAGTGCTGAGGTGACTGACTAATTTGAAGGACACTGTTTTTAGCTTTCTTGTCAGGACAGAGTTTGCAGATTGTGTAAAGCAGAGGACATTTCCAGGTGAGAAATCCTGTAGATATGCAAGAACTAACCATAAGAAATGTTCTTAATTTAGACATGTCACTAGCAGCTAATGTTGGAGCTATGTGGTCCCCCCAAAGCAGTGAAACAGCCTTTGCCATACCTTTCAGAGAGAGCTGTGTGTTGTTCCCAAACATGTCCTCCGATGCTTTTTTTGGAGCCACCTCTCTTGCATTAATGATTTCCACTTTTCCTTTAATGACAGAGCAAGGAAGATGATGTTTAGCTCTGGACTCAACACACAGGCCTGGTCTCTGCTGAAGAAGTCTCATCAATGTGAGCCAGTTTCTTGGCAATTATTTTGAGGACAGCATGTTCCCCCAGAGGCTGTGAAAGTCAGTCTTTTACCTTCACTCAGGTAGGATAAGTTACCTACTTTAGATAAAGGTTCTCAAACTGTTCCAGGTGTGTATGGCCTGTCCCTTACCTGTGCTGCTGTAGATGGTAAAGAAGAGGCCCCCTCCAATGCCCATGCTGTGAGCATTCATGAGTCCTACACAAAGCAGAGCTGCAATTGCAGCATCCACTGCTGATCCACCTTGCTGAAGGATGTCCCTGTGCAGCAGAAGAGAAGGCATCGTATGGTGACATGTTACAGTGTCTCAGCTACCTGTGAGCAGTGGATTCACCTCATCAGAGCAGTTATGACAGATTCTCTAATGCACACTTGTCCACACCCAGTCTGTAAGTTCCTCAGGAATATGAAGTTTTGAGCTTCTGTAACCTTAGAGAACAGATCCTAATGGTCTAGGTACAGACCAGATCAGCTCCCATTAGAGACACATCCAAATGAGCTTGAAAACACAGAGATGTGTCAAAGTACGTGTGGGGACAGGCATCCCAGATACATTCATTACACATGAGAAATGACAACTCTCTGAGGAGCCTGAAATCTCAGCACTTGCATCTAGAACTGGGGGACAGCTTGATAAATGTTTTTTAAAAGGAGCTTGAAAAGCATCTCTCATTCCCATTGTTCATGCATCTGTGGAATCTTTGCCTGCTATGCTGTCTTTGAGCAACTGCAGTAACATCGGTCAGGCGTGGTAAAAGCCCAGGTTTTATTATGGCCTCCTCTTTCTACAGGGAGATTAGAGATCATCTGTGCTGGGCAACTGCTGGGCTTGCACCTGGACATAGGGAAATGACAGTTTTGTCATGCACAAGAGCTGTCAGAGCTAGTGAGAATCGCAGCACAATTAGCAGGTACCTTCCAATTATTGAGCACTGCCCCGCATCTGTAGCCACAGCCGCCCTTTTGTAAGTGTGTGTGTCCCCAGAGTCAGAGCGCAGCCCGAAGAAGAGTCCCAGGAACAAGATGAGCCCCAGCAGGGCTGCAGTCAGGACTCCGGCCACCACACAGCGCTTCTTCATCTTCCTGTGGGAAGAGACAGGATCGTCAGCCTTGCTGCTTCTGGGGCACATGGGGGCTAGGGAGCAGATGACCAGGCACAAGAGCAGTCTTTTCATCTACCTTCTTACAAATCCAGTGTTTCCCCCTTACTCCCTGGCAGCCAACAGCTCTGCACATGGAAGGGAGGTTTGGGAAGGAGTGGACAGGGAAGGTGTAAGCTCAGTTCTGGCCTTGACAGTTACATCAGGGTGATGTCCTGTTTTGAAGTGAAGCAGAGAATCAAGAGGGGAGGAGATGTTCGGTATGTCCTGCTACTGTTACATTTCAATGGCGATAGGACAATTGATTGCTCCTTGTGACTTTACGCTCTGAGGATTTTAGATGCTCAGCAAGCATTTAAGTCACTGCTCTGCTTATGAGGACAGGGGCCCAGTGTGAGATTGGATTTGATCTAGTTCCCAAATCAAGTCAGCAATACCAATCAGAGATTTTTTTACCAAATTCCCACCTTCCGCACATGCTGGCAGGCCCTTTGCCTCCTTTGTATTGTGATAGTCAAGGACTGCCTCCTGCCCACATCCTGGAGGCAGGCTGGCTTTGCCAGGTGAGCAGCCGTCTGTGTTAACCTCTTCCTCCCTACTTTATAGCCACATGGTGAGGCTGTATATATGATTTCTTCCCATCTTTCCAGCTCTGGATTTTTAGCAGGTTTCCATGAGTTCTGAGCTGTGGGCACTGAACAGCTTCCTCCTCCCTTGAACCTCTCATAGAGAGAGGGTCTCCCAAATATTTCCTCACTCAGATTCGTATCAAGTCCTTTTCTATGAGCGTTGCTGGTACTATTTCTCTATGCCCCTGCCACCTCTGTGCAGAATAACTGTTCTAACAACTCCAAAGCTTTTACCAGCTTCCCCTTTATCCACTGCTGCCATCCTATTTGCAGAGTGATCTGCTTCAGTGAGCAGCCCAGGGACTCCTGGAAGCCCTTTGGTAACAACTTTGAAGTGTTACAGTACCAGCAATGAAAAGGCTCCAAACCAGCAACTATCACTTGAGTGAGAACCTGTCTTATAGCAGGTAGGTAACTTCATACACCCAAAACCCCAGCAGATTTATAGGTGAGAAGGGAAATCCAAGAAGAAGAACATAATTAGTGCTAGTTATGATTCACATAATCTTCAGAGGAAAATTTAAAAAAACCAGAATCAACTTAATATAATCTGCTTTTAAATACCATGTCTGTGAAGGAATCTCTGTCCAGAAGGTTGTCAATGACCACTGCAAAACACATCTGAGTCATCAGCAAGCAACCTTGGCCAAAGCTATTTGGCACACCGCAGCGCGAGCGCAGCATCCCCTCCTGTTCAGAGCCCTTGGCCAGAGCACTTTTCCAATGAGCCTGCCACTTCTAGAGGGCGATGACCGCTGCTCGTGTCTCCATGTTTCCCAGTCCTGCACACAGCTGCCCCTGGGGTTCACAGGGTTATAGTTCATCTGTGAGTGAGCACAGGACACCAAGGAGCTCTCCAGCAAGCAGATTCCAGACACACACCAGGATGAGTCAAGAGCTATCAAGGGGATGGAGAGTCACTGCCACCTTGTTGGGACTGACAGTTCATGGAATACAGCTTGAACAGCTACTCTTTGACCCATTTCCTTTCCCATTACAGGATTGTTCCAGCAAAAAAGACCCAAATTAATCACATTGCCTTCAGGGACCGACTTCCCCCTGTGTCGTGCAGCTTTGGCCACCGTACTTGCGTGACAGCCAAGATGCCCTTTACCTTGCTGAAGCATCTGCCACCCTTAGAGACAAGGCAATCCATGGCATTGTGGGTGAAGAGCGGATCCACCAACCCCACCCTCTGTGGATGTTCCACAGCCCAAAGTAGAGCAAACTCCAGCAGTCAGAGCAGCACTTGGTGCCTTGCAGCAGCAGCACATGCAGGATTAGGGAGCAGTGAGTGTGCCAACACTGAGCTAACTAGAGGAAATAGGCCAGGCCAGCCAAACCAAAACTTTTCTCAGAGAGGAGATTAGCCAGCACTGCTCCCTCAACCTCACCCCCACTCCTGGTACTTAAACTAGGAGATATACATTTTCTATCCAAGCCCTGTATCTTTGAGTCTCAGTCTGAGCACTAAAGATGTCCATCTCCAAGTAAAGCAGCTCAAACCAGGGTGTTGATCTACTGTATGTGCTGTTCTGTAAACAAATGTCAACCGAGGGCAGTAAAAGGTAAATGGATGAAACTTCTTTCCAGGTTCTAGAACTTGATTTACACTCAACTACTTTTAAAAGAGACCAGTGGCTTGTTTGCAGAGCAACGACTGTGCAGGGAAACAGAGAAGCCATTATGTCCTCAACAATAGCTCACACACAGCCTCAGAGTTTAAAGACAGTTTTGTTTGTTGGCAGAGAGAGTTCAGCTTCAGCACTGGCAGTCTCCTCCAGGCTTCACAAGAAATGCCATGGGATCTTTTATCTGCGCCCCAGCTAGGCAGAAGGTACTTTGTTTCATCTGAAGGCTGCTCTATGCTGGGCTGTCCTGCAAGCCTGGGGTGACTCAAGTCCCGTAGCTGGTGTATTAACCCGTGGTCTCCTGGCTGGGGCTGTGCAGTTCTCCTCCACAACTGCTTGCCTCGCTGCCAAGCTCCTGTAAAGATTTACTGCTTTGTCACGCAAGTTATTCTTAGAGCAGGAGAGAAGAAGGGGAAACCTCAGATAGTACCTCTGCTCCTGTCTTTCACCTCCTCTCTGGATTTGGATGACACTCGTGAGCATCTCCTAGACCCATAAGAGCTCCACGCTGAGTGCCCACCTGCCCAGTGAGTGCCCAGACCTCGAAAAGGGCCCTCCAGCCCACTTGACATGCCTCAGGCTCAGCTCCCGGCCCTCCGCCAGCCCCCGGGGCAAGGATAAGACGTGCAGCACTGGGGGCAGGAGCAAGCACACAGACTGTTGTGAAGAAGAGACACTGATTGCTGGGCACTGCCCCGGCACTGCGTTCTGGTACCATGTTGCCCTCTGAGCTGGGCCTCTGGGCCACAAGTGGGGACAGAAAAAGTGAATGCTCTTAACAAAAGTGCATCTGCGCAATCTGTCAGGTTGATCCTGCTAAGGAAGAAGCAGATGCATGAGCTAAATGTCTGCAGCTTTCTCTCCTTCAACAGTGTGGAGAGCAAACTCAGCTGAGGATAATCCTCTCCACCTTATGCCAGCTCAACTCCCATAAGCTCCTTAACCTATTTCAGGCCTGACCCTAGAAGGAAGCATTCCTTGCGCAGTTCTAACTGTGGCACAACAGAGCGCTGAACATGCATTTTGTTTGCCATACAGCAACTGGGAGCCTGCAGGTATCCATTCTCTAACCCACTTCTCCATACTTGGCCTGTGCCCTGGGTAGGTGCATTGCAGGAACAGCTGAGTTTTTGCACCAACGGTCTTTTCGAGCCTCGGCTCTGAAGCCAAGTCCCCACTGATTTATTGTTGGGAGTGGAGCAGCAGCTGGGGGGCCACCACCAGAGCTGGCTCCCCAACTATTGTCTGCTGAGGCTGGCTTTAACCACCACATCTCTGCCAAATCCAGCTGTTTGGAAGACTGGCTAGTGCTTCAGTCACACAGCGCTGCTTGGCAGCAGCAAATGGGCCTCCAGAAGGGAGGGTCTATAAAAGCATTAAAAGAAATATGATTATTTCTCACTGTTATAAAGGTCCAACAGCCAGTCCTAGCCATGGAATTTAAGACGTAGCCTGATAGTCTGTCTTAGTTTATATTAGGAGAGGAGGAAGACCAGCAAGTAGCAAAGTTATGCTTGTACGAGCAATCCCATTGAGCTGTATTCAGATATGTCACAACATTCACAACCTTATTTAAACATGACATCGGTTTTGAATTAAAAGAATCCCAGTGCAACAAGCTAGTTAGTGTCAGGCAGGGGATACAGGGTCTGAAATCTCTGCCAAGAAAGTTGGGGCACGCTATAGAGATGAGGAACCTGCCATGATCAGGGAAAGCACCAGGAGAACTGAAACAGAGGGAAGAGGGCCAGAAAGCAGGGGAGAGAGAACAGTGCGTCACCAGAGGATGACAAAGGAGTCCAGGTATGGTCAGGCACTACCTCATTCTTCAAGGAAGTAGTCAGGGAAGGATCCACTGACAACACCTAAAACTTTAACCACAAATTTTAACCCAACAGGCTTCTGCTTTAAACCCATCTTGCAACAGCTGCATACATCAGCACCCACTCCTAAGAGTTTCTTGTACTCCCACCCCCAGCCCAGGAGCCAGCACTTGGCCATTAGCTTTGAGACATCCGTCCTTACTTTCCCAGGCAGCACACGTTATGCAAGGATAGATTGGACATCTCAAATCTTGTCACAGGACGTAGGCTATGCTCTTCTGGTAAAACCCAAAGTATAATCTGTATCAATAGCATTGCCATATTTAAATAATTAATAACAAACAGTTGAAATAATGTTTTTACACTCTGCTGTTGTGTAGAGTGAACTGTCAGTGACTTTTGAGTGAGAACATATGTAAAACAAACAGCTGCAAGATTGCCACAGGGCCCCCAGGAGTATAAGCCAACAGAGGCCTCGAAAGAGCCAAACCAGGGGGCTAGCAGAGGCCCAAGGGCTGCTCACACAAATGTCCCGTTACTGATCCAGCACTGTAACAATCTAACGAAGGTGTCTACAACTGATCGCGCAGGCAGAGCCATGTCTAAAGACAGCTACTTGTGCTGACACGATCCTTCAGGATCGGGTATGCAGGACTGATCACTGACATCCTGTCTTGCTACAGGTGCAGGCACTGTTTGACAGGACAGGCTACTTATTCCCAAGGGCTGTTCCCAGCACCCTGCCAGTGGCCAGGCCATCTTCAGAGGTGAAGGAGTTATATCCATCCTTGTGCTGATGGGGTGGTCCGTGTGAACCACTAAGCTGGTGCTGGTTCCCCACACCATTATTACCTTGCTTTCCTCCTCACTAGGAGCTCACTGAGAGGTGGTATAAT